TCATTTCGGGATACTTGAAATGGCTGACGGGTAGGTTGCGAACGGTGATCAGACTGCTTACAAGCCACGACTTGAGCTTGTTCTTCTCGGTTAGCGAGCCCTCCTTCTGGTGCCTGGCGACATGCCCCCACATGCTGGAGGTACTCCCTTGGTCTTTCTTAATTGGCTTTTCACAGATTTTGCACTTTGGATGCTCGGGGTCCTCCACATTTTCATCGAAGTAATTCCATATCTTGCCTGGAAGACGGCGGATTCGGAAGCTCAGAATCTCTCATCTATCATAAATGCGGGGATCAGAACAGCATGCAAGTCCGTCAGCTCTACTAACTTCTTTTGCCCGGCGGACGGCCGACGGGCCGACGACCTGGCTTCTTTTTACGAATTGCTGTGTCGGCGCAATTGCTCTCCCGTCTTTCTTCGACTACGGAGCTGGCTGGACTGGGAGTATCCGCGATATTGTTTGAGTCTGGAACTGGAAAGATTGAGCCAGAGATCGATCTTCATGCGCTAAGAAACAGTATCCACCGTACTGCTTCAAGGGAGGGAGGAGCGCATTCGGGTCAGATTCCGAGCGGAATCTATACCCTTGGATCGGTATACCATATCGTAAGCCCCACCCGGAGAATATCGCTGCTTTACTGGCTCCCGCTCACCTTCGTTCGCCGAGTAAGTGATTATCAATCGACGTTTCCCTGGACCTTGTGTAGGTTTTCGTACTGGTCTCAATCCGCTCGTGTGAGCCACATCCGAATCTGGCGGGGAACAGACTGACAGAGTGAGAATAATTGAGCGGCCTCGCTCGCAGAGCCGAGGGCTGCGCTCAGCTCTTCTTGTCATGACCATCGCCATCAGTACCCTCATAGTGCATCAAACATGCGGGAAATATGCGGATGATGAGACACAGAGCACAGCCACGAGAGACACTCCGAAGAAGGAATCGGTGACAAAGTGAGCTAGTAGTCTGTCATCGGTTTTCGTCTTAGGTCTTCGCTCATGCCTCATGCTCCTCGATGCGCTCCTGTTCCTCTAGTGAATCCCCGAGATCCCCAAACGACTAAGACACAGGATAGTGATGAATTAGGTCCTGCTCGCGATTTCACGAGTCTCGAGTCACGATCATGAAAGCAATGGAGCTCGTCGCCAGCATCATTCTTTCGTCAATCGGTCGAAAGGAGAGACTTGAGACACTGGATTTCTGATTTGCTGTATCGCTGCAGCACCAACGAGAATCAAGAGCCGATTCCGGAGAAAGAGATGAGATAGAGACCGCGAAAGACAACTCTTTCTCCGGATGCGGCGGCCGATCCAAGTACCACGTCCGCGGCCCGACGTCGAATGAGAATGAGAGGATTCTCGCCATGGACGCCCGGCTCCGGAGTTCCCAGGCCACCCTCAACACCGAGGCTTCGTTCATGAATGGGACTCGAGCCTCGCGCTCCGCTGTGATCATTGCTGCTCCTATGCGTGGATCGAACTCCAAAAAATGAGTTCCTCACCACTTTCTCTGGATGAGGCTCCGAAGCCTGAGGGATCCCGTTCAGGGCTCCTTTTCCCGACTTTCTGGCCCAAATGGCCGCCTGTTGTATCCGAATCTGCAAGGAGAATACCTAATTCATATTCAGAATGAGGTTTCAAGTTTTATTGCTGGTACATAAGGCACCTATTCCTGATATTGGATGTATCTGATCGTGAATCTGGAGGGAGACTGCCTGACCCAGGCCTTAGGCCTGCTCCCACCTCTTTCTATAGAATGGGCTTTCGTTCTTGAATTGCGAATGCGAGGCAAAGCGAATTCTCGGTCGACGCCTTTTTCTCTGATGATCCTTCGCGATGCACGATCACTTGCACTCGTATCTGAGTCTGTGAGACGGGAATGTATTTTATTGAGAATTTCCATGTAGTAATGCCATTTTTAAGCTTCGTGTCTCAGACTCTGAAAAATCCGCTCCCTCGCCAAGGATCTCACCCTCCTCTGAGGCAACGAGGCTTCCCCTATCACGATCGATTTCATCCCAGTCCAAGTCTGTGGGAGAGGAGGAAGGAGCTTTGATGATATGATAATTTATCTCATCGCAGCCCCCTGGCAAGAACTCCGGGAAAAGTGCTGCCTCGGGCTCCTGCGCTTGGTCTACCGCCTAGACCGTCAGCACCCAAGTGTCGGAGCTTGGACCTTACCTCTTTCTCCAGTATCGGCTCTCTGTATGGACTTTCGTCTGCGAATTCCGCGAGATTCTAACCCAGAGTTTCCCTCTCTGATCTCCCGTCCCCTCTCGCGGTCTTCTTCATTCGCGTCTGGGTCTATGGGGGAAGAGCGAGGAGCATACTTATATATATTTCTCATCACTACCTCGGTGACGGCCGGGGAGGGTATCAGCGTTGCCGCTATTGCATCCTCATTGTGCAATCCCGTTTTACCGTACTTCTCAATTGGGAACCTCGATTTCCCAACGAGAAATATCGGCCGGCCTCGGGGATTGAACCCGGCACCTTCCCGACGATAGCGGCGTCAACATAGCGCACGGCTGCATGCGATGCACGCGCCAACCACTCGGCCACCACGCGGGTAAGCACCAGGCACCTGGCACGAACTTTGCGCAAGAAGTCGAACTCCGGAAAAGGTGCTGCTTCCGACTCTTGCGCTCTGCCTCGAGCTTGAAGCCTAACCATTAAAGATTCGGACCTTGGATCTCACCTCTTTCTCCAGAATCGGCTCTCTTTATCAACTTGCGCAAGCAGCTCCCGTGAGATTGTGACTCAGAGGGGCTCTCTCTGATCTCCCTGCCCCTCTCGCGGTCTGCCACATTCTCGTTCGAGTCTGTGGAAGAGGAGAATCGAAGAATTTGTCCAAGCTCAAGCGTAAGGAGTTGAACTCCAGGTAGATTGCTGTCCCGCCTCAGCCCTCAGTCCCACGACCTCGGACCTTCGTTTGGATTCCCCAATCCTCAAACTGAGATCTCACCTCTTTGACCACGACTGCCGCTGACTCCCGCGTCGCGAACGCGGTTCCCCGGAAAAGCTCTCTTAGAGATGTCTTCCCCGGTGCAACTCCCGGGGAAGCGGTCACTCTCGCCCGAATCTGGGAGGGAAAGATAGCTAATAGCTAATATATACTCCGAAGTTAGCAGAACGAAGTGCAGTAATGGGTGCCGAGCGCAGAATATAATTCGAAGTATGTGTAATGTGAATCGGGTTGCCAGACGCTACTCGCAGATACTCACGACGATTTCTCTTGAACTTTAACATGAACTTAGACATGGGAAATCTGTCAAATACAGCAGAGCATGTTTCCTCTGACATTCTCACATCCAATTAATCAACTCGAGAGAAGGAGGAGCCGATCCCGAAATTCCAATTCCAATCCCAATGCAATACCATTATACATTATACCAATAAGATCAAAGATCAGCGGGGAACCCCATTGGAAAAAACGGCAGGCAGATCCACGATCTTTCTCGGGAGAGAGGCAAAATGGAACCATTGTGGATCCTAGAACCTGGACCTCCCGCGACCGGCCGCATGGCGGGGGCGCGGAGCCGGAAGCCTAAGCCTTCGCGTCTGAGGTGGATCCAGTCCAGTCTCCGCGGAACGGAAAGGACTCGGAATGAGACGAAATTCGAGCATTCCTAGCTATAGGAATGTGCTTGATCGCTCACAGAAGAATCTAAGAGATGAATTGCTCCTGAAAATCGAATATTCGAAGAAAACTTACCGATTCTTAACGGGCGCAATGAACACGAGAGGTCCCCCGTTGCGCCGCCAGATTCAAAAGGAAGAATGAGAGAAGGAATGATGATGCCGATGATCATTTTTCCGCGAGCGCGATCGGGCGCATGAAAGTGACATTTAGGAAACGGCTCTCGAAATGGCAGGGAACTCGTGCTTTTCCACACATTGGCATGAGCTATGAGCTCCATCGCTCCCCCGTGGATCTTAGCGATGACTGCAATGAAATAATCTAACATTCCAAGAAAACCTCTAGATTTCGAATCTCGATGGAGCCTGATGCTGGACGTACACCGGGCACCAGCTGGAAAACAAAACAGCTCAGGGTTCCGGGCTCGGCCAGAAGAAAGATTAGACAATGATGATTATGATGATCTTTTTTGTTGGAGTTGAAGACGAGTCCCCGCAAAGACCTCGGGATAAAGGCTCGAGCCGTTCTATATAGAGTCATAGCCCCATCGCTCCATGGCGAGCCGTGAGCCTGAGCGATGAATGACAGCGAAGAGATCGAAAACTCCGCGAGCAAAGTCACCGATTCCGACGGAGCGTGATTCGCGCCAAATGAATAACATACATTGAGCACGCTCACACGAGCTGCGAGGCGAGAAATGTTTTCCTTGATTTGCGACTCCGCATACCCGAATTCCTAAACTATAAACGTTTTCCGGGCTTATATTGCCGGATTCTCACAGATTTTTGTGCTGCCGAAACTTCGGTTTTCGGTTTCGGGTTCTCGAAAATCGAAAATTGAAGAATCGACATTTCGATTTACGATTTTGACCGGGACCGAAAATAATTTTCCGGTTTCCGGCTTAACGGAAACTCAGGCCTACATGCAGGAGACATTCTGTCGGCGTTCCGGATCGAATTGTTTCCCTGATGTGTCTCCGAAGACAATGTTCGCGGGTGCGCGATCGACGTCTGACGTCAGCGATCGCAACCACTGAGGTCCCTTTATCCATAGTGTTTTGTTGTGATCGGAGAAGAGGTCTGCTCCTCTCGGAATAAGGTCGGCTGGATTCTCCTCTGATTTCGCATATTTCCACACGGTCTGGCCGACGAGAGTGTGAATACGCCGGATTCTGTTGGCTACATATGGCTTCCAGCGCTCCGGTTCCGAGTTTACCCGTCCTAGGACGCTCGAATTATCAGTGTATAGATGAGTAGAGTAAATCTGTATGTCCATGAGACTCTTGACTGATGATAGCAGTCGGCTGGCGAGAAGCGCGCCCAGAAGCTCTAGGCGATGGATCGACATTGGCTTGACCGGACATACTTTAGCTTTCGCCATAACGAAATGGGTAATCGGTTTCGTATTTGCAGAGCTCTCTCGGAGGTAGATGACGCAGCCGTATGCGTTTAAGCTGGCATCTGAGAACACGTGGAGTTTGTTTGCGCGAGTTGTCGCCTGTGTTTGAAAGCATGTGGCGGGAGATTGACACTTTGTCCTTGTCGAGCAAATCCGTGAATCTCGCGTATTCTTCTGCGTGCGGGCCATCTAAGGCTAAGTCCCATCCGATTTCCGATTTCCATAGCTTCTGAAGCAATATTTTGGCGTTTATGGTTGTCGGACCCATAATTCCTGATGGATCGAAAATTTGGGCGAGTCCTCTGAGGAGTTTTCTTTTTGACGGTGTTCCTGATTGGAGCTTCCTGATGGCCTTAGTGGCTGGCACCGATAAAAGATCCATTTGTTGGTTCCAAGGGATCCCTAAGAATTTGCTGTCTAATTGGCCGGTGGATATTGTTGGGTCCTTGACCGGTGAGTGCTTCTTGATGAATTCTCCCAGCTCTGTGCTGTTCGACGCCCATTTCTTGAGGGGCATGTGTGCTTCCTGGAAGATGTCGAATAGGAGCGAAATTTTGTATTTCGCGTCCTCGAGGTTATCACTTCCTAGACAAATGTGATCCATATAGAAAGAGTCGATAATCTCTTGGATGAATTTCCTGCCCTTGGGATGTATTGATTGTGCGTACTCCAGGTGAGAACGCACCCCTTGGCAATGCAGAAATGGGGAGCAGACTAGTCCGAAGTCTAGTCTGGTCGCCCAAAATCCTTTCACTGGGGCTGACCCGTTGGTTGATATTCCTAATGGCCAAACGAATCGTAAGAAGGTGCGATCCTCTGGGGCAATCCTGAATTGTTGGAAAGCTTTTTCTATGTCAGCCGCTACGGCGTATCTGTACTGGCGAAACTTCAGTATCACTTTGATTATGTTGGGGAGTAGATTTGGTCCCTGATGAAGTACGTCATTGAGACCGGCTTCGCTTGATCGACGGGCGCTGGCGTCCTTGACAACTCGGGTTTTCAAAACCCAGGGGGAGATTCCGGGTTCGCCTTGAATACTGCCTGGATTGGCAGGTAGTGAGCGAGCTGGTCGCGTGATCTTTGTT